ATTTCTCTCTTTAAGCTTATCTCTCCAAAACTCCCATAGGGGCATACCCAACCCTAGGTAGTACTCTTTCTCTCCTCTCTAAACATAAGAAGAAACTAAGGGTTTGAAAAATTAGAGGGAAGTCTAAGTTAATTTTGGGGGTTAGGGTGTAGTAGAGATTTTAAAGGTGGTTACCTAGTTTGGCCGAAATCAGTTTTTTCGGTTCGAAATTCAAACTAGACCACAGATCCCGCGCCATTGAATGTGGTGACTCGGTGTGGGGTGTAAAAAGCCCGGTTGAGGTAATCTCCAACATTTTTTCGTTTATTTGCTTATTCTTTTATTTTGTATTCTCAAGCACAGTATTAGGTTGTATGAATGGCATCAAGTAGTTGAGATTTATTTTATTGATGTGCTGTTTATTTTGGAATATCTATTTTTTGTAATAAGACCATATGTGAGTGATCTTTTTGCCAAAAACATAAGGATTATTATTATTAAAAAAAAAATTTGTATTTCCGGACAAAAGTTCACATAAGTCTTTCTTTCAATATGGGCCATGAGAGTATATGTATCCTAGAGTTTTGTATCAAATTGGAATGTTTTTATTGCCTCTTATCATCAAATGTTAGTCACGATGCACATGTGTAACTAACGATGGATTGGGTTAATGATCAAGTCCTTCATGAATTCACCGCTCTTCAATCTCTTAGCCCAAGTGAAACTTTCACAAATTAGGTCTGACATAACTGTTGCATAATGGCAAATATCGATTATGTGGGCTTGAACTGGTTATAGGATCTCCAAATTCCCCATAAAATTCAATACTTTTTGTTAATATTCCTTCAAGACAAAGTGCTTATTATTAACAATATGAGGAAAAGGTGAAAGATTCTAACCAATACCTACCTCATTTATAAGTCAGTTGAAGAAATATTGATCACCATTCCTACATTTCCCATCCATTATCATCCACTGCCTGAACGAAATTAGAGAACTTTTGAAGGCACCTTTTCCTCTCTTGAAGCCGTTCATGACCTGATCCTCAATATTGCAGCAAAATGGGCCTCAGCCATGAAGATCTGCTCTAATATTCTAGAAGCAACATTATTTTTAAAACCTTAGAGACTCCTCATCCTCATCCTTCATACAATGCTGAACATCAAAAGATCATCATTGTCCCTTCCTTTTGATGCTAAACTTAAATTAAATTTTGATATGAATTCATTGGGTAATCTAGGTCATGCAGGTATTGGAGGAGTGCTCCATGATTCAGGGTACTCAATTGTGGTTTTTTTTTTGGTCCCCTTCATCCCTGCTCCACAAACGAGGTTGAGGCACGACGCTTTTATAGAGGCTCTAATTGATCAATGATACCTCAATGGAGATCATCGTTGAAGGGGATTCCTTAAACATCATCCTTCGAGCCGAAGGAGTTCAACCCTTCTTTGGAGGCTAATTCCAATTTTCGATCGAATCAAAGAGCTTTACACCTCCCTTTAGATGCATTTTTCCCATTGTTTCAGAGAGAGTAACTTCTTGGCCGATGCACTGGTGAAGCATGGAGTTTATCTCCAGTCTCTTGTGGTCTATCATCTTTAATCTATTATTTTGAGCAATGTAATGGAAATTCTTATTTACCATTAAAAAAAACAAAAAACAAAGAGCATTTGAGGGGGGGGGGGGGTTGGACACATGCTGATCCATTTGACCTAACCCTCGAGATTATGAGAATTCCCAAGTTTGAGGGGTTTAGAGAGAAAGATTCCAAGTTTTCATGAGGTGATTTTGAGAGGGGAAGAGAGAGACGGTGACACCTTGAGTTCTTGCATTTTTTTTTAGCAGTTTTTGTTGTGTTGAAGCCACGTGCTTTCCGTGTTGCATTGCATTTCATTCATTTGACTACCAGAAAAATATCTTGCAGCCTACTGTCCCAGTGCCCCATTTTACTTGGGAAGAGAGGAAAGCCAGCGACGTGGTTAATACCCCACTTAACTGGATGGGATATCTGCCACTGTTGATACCAACTGAACCTTTGTGGATACATAGAAAGGAGAGAGAACTATGATGCCAAAAATTTTAGATATACAAAGAGAGATGTTATTTCCAAAGTTTTGGGTAAAAGGTTGAAATGATTTCTCCATGTTATTATCTCTGGAACTCAGTCGGCGTTCATTAGTGGAAGGATGATAATGGATGGGGTCTTAATTGCACAAAAGTGTATTCATGTTAGGACTGCTAGTGGGATCCCCGAGTTACTCTTTAAGCTAGACATGGAGAAAGCTTATGATCGAGTGGAATGGGGAGTTCTAGATGAGATTATGTATCGAATGGGTTTCAGGTCGCAATGGAGAAAGTGGATCTCAGGTTGTTTATTGTCTGCACATTTTTCTGTTTTGATTAATGGTAGCCTTAAAGGCTTCTTCAAGGATTTTTGAGGAATAAGACAAGGGGATCCTCTTTCCCCTTTTCTATTTACTCTAGTTAGTGAGGATTTTAGTCTTATGATTAATAATGTGGTGAGGAATCAAGGTTTTTCTGGTTTTGAGATAAATTCTTCAGGTCCTTGTATTTCTCACCTTCAATATGCAGATGATACAATACGTTTTTGTGGGCTTGAGTTAAATCAAGTGTTGGTTATCGGAAGGTTCTTGAGATGTTGTGAAACAACCTTGGGTATTAAGGCTAATTTCTTAAACACATCGGCTATTGGAGTTGGTTGCTCTACTGAAATGGTAAAATCTTTGGCAGATGATATGAGATGTAAAGTGGAATGTTTTCCAATAAAGTATTTAGGAATGCCGTTATCAAATGCAAGACTTCGAAAAGAGGTATGGGATTTAGTAGTGAAAAGGGCAAATGTGAAGTTAGATGTTTGGAACACCAAGCATTGTCTTTGGGGGGGCAGAGTTACACTGATCAAATCTTCGTTATCCAATCTCCCGATATATCAAATGTCACTACTTTTGATGCCGAGTGATGTAGAGAAAAAGTTGGAGAAACTTATGAGGAATTTTCTATAGGGATCTAATTATGTGGTCAAGAAATATCAATTAGTGAGTTGGGATCGAGTTTGTACACTAAAAAGCGAAGGAGGATTGGGAATAAGTAAACTGAAATATGTGAATCAAGCTTTGATTGCAAAATGGTGGTGGCGGATTCTCAATGTGATAATCAGCTTTGGAAGATAGTTCTGATTTCAAAATATGGTTTTGATTCTATCAATCTTTTGGTAGCTAGAGGATAGGGAGGTACTCAACAATCTTTTATGTGGAAATCTTTGTTGTCCATGCGTACTATTGTTTTGAGTTATTTAAGATGGACAGTTGATAAAAAGGATATCGTGCTTTTTTGGCATTCTAAATGGTTGACTGATATACCCTTTAATATGATGTTTCCTTATTTATTTTTAAGATGTGCTCAGCCGCTAGCTAAGGTTTGTGATATTGGAGAGATAAGGGGCCAGTCAGTGGCGTGGAATATTAATTGTTTATATAGTCGACTGCCTCAATGCGGTGGATCAATACATTGAATTATTACAATTGTTGCATAATGTGTATCTCTCGCAGCAGGCTATAGATGAAGTTATTTGAGATCTAAAAGCTAGTGGAGTGCTCTCTATCAAATCTGCATATCACATTTTGTTTCATGGTCGTGTTAGCTGGAACATGCCAGCTCTTAAAGACATTTGGAAATGGAAGATACCTCATAAGGTTCAAGTCTTTATATGGATTTTGGCTCAAGGGAAATTTTAACTGTTGATAATCTTCAGAAAAGGATGTTGATTGTAAATGCGTCTCTTTTGTAAAAGTGATGGGGAATCGAATGACCATCTTTTTCTTTACTATCAGTGTGCATACAATTTGTGGTGTTGGGCTATGCAAATGGTAGGTTTTTCTCTTGCTCTTCCATCATCGGTTTTTCACCTTGTTTCTCAATTTAAACTTTGTGGTATCCCCAAGATAGGAAGTTTGTTATGGGACATATTTCGAGCAGCAATTTTGTAAGGAACTTTGGCTTGAGAGAAATAGGCAGATGTTTGATGGTGTGATTATGGAATTGGAGGTTTTGAAAGCTAGAATTCTTTTTGTCTATGGAGTTGGTTTGCTATTACAAAAGAAGATTGGGCAAGGGGGAGGGGGGGGGGGGTTTCTTGTGTGGATGTTCATCAAAATCTGGCCCACTTGGTTACTTTAAGGTTCCTTAAAGTTATGCCAAGAGATATTTGGATGCACCTATTTGCAAGTGCTAGAAATTGAATTTTGATGGATCATCGATAGGAAATCCAGGTACGGCAAGGATTGGGGGGGTCTATAGAGATGATGGAGCCATTATCTTTTGCTATGCTGGCCGTGTGGTATTGTCTTTTGCTATGCTGGCCCGTGTGGTATTGCTGCTTCCAATTTTGCAAAATAGGCAGCTCTTCTTCAGGGTCTTACCTTATGGCGAGAGAAGAGATTGGGGAATGCATTGGCAGTTGAAGGGGATTCGGCTAATGTTCTTGGCGTCTTCGATCTATGTAGCTGCAAATTAGATAGATATCGCCAGAAGGTATTGTTAGCTTCCAACTTGTCTATCGTGAGGCCAATGCCATTGCTGATGATCCAGCCAAGAAGGGAGGTGCTCTTGGTTCTTTGGTTTGTTCGGAGTCTTTATTGTAATATCTTGAGGATTATTGTAATCATCCTTTCCATCTAATAATATTTCATACTCGTCGATGTTCCCAAGTTTGAAGTTTACGTGGACAAGAAATACGCTGGAAGGACACGGATACAAGGGGTATAGGACATCCAAATATTCGGTTTACAGTTTTAATGTAAGATGCAGAAAGAGTCGGTTTCTCCAGATTTTAGGACTCCAGGTTTTCAGTAAATTTGGAGCAACGGTAAAATTGGCCCATGCAAGATTATTATCATATGGTTATTCTAGATTTAGAGGTTTCTAAAGTTCGTCCATCTTTGTATAATCTGTTGAGAGGTGCAACCGTAGAATGTTTTAACGTCTTCCATGCTAATTTTAACGATAGGTACTAACAAGCAGAGCAGGGATCCAAGTCACTAACCAATATCATCACAGATTTTTTAACCGTATGACTGGCCCTTCTTACATGAATATTACAAGCTTTTGTCCTTTTTTCCTTTTTTTTAATGTTACGGGTGTTATCTTTTTTTTTTCTTTTATCTTTAGAAAGAATAAATCAGTAATCTGTTCTGAATCACTATCCCCATGACACACTCCTATGTGTTTGATTGTAAAAACCGAGCTCTTTTCTTGCGGTCAGATTCTTCTATTGGATCCCCATTGGCTCCTAACTTCCGCTTCCCAACCTCCAAACCACTAACACGTGAATCCTGATAACAACCTGAAGGTATCTGTAGCTTGTTTGAGTTTACCTGGCTACTTCGATATTCAAATGTTTCACCAACCATGTCTTTTTTCAGACATTGATATGAGAGAGCTGCTTGCACTTGAGATTCAGATGCCACTTGCTTTAACCTCGATCTGTCATCCATAGGAATTGAATCTCGAGGTCTTTTCAACCTGAAATTAGCCTGCACAGGAAGACCATCTGTTATATTATGACCTCCAATAGTGGAGTGTCATCCTTCAAAGCCAAGTTAGCAGCATAGAGAAAACCAGCAGTTATCCACATTTCACTGTTTCACGGCTTCTACAAGGTAGATCATCACTAAGGTAATAATAATAAGTTGCAGTTAAACTGTATGGATCTGTAGCATTTGTCTAGGATGTCATAAAGCCAAAGCAGTGTGCATTTCAGTATCAATCAATGGGAAAACTACGATGGATGCAGGATTGCGGAGCTACATCATGAAATGAAAGCCTAATAGCCATTTGAACACATATGTCATGGATGGAAGCCAATGCTCCTGTGATCCCTCAGCTAAGTACACTCAAGACGATGAGTTGAAGAGATATGGCGCAATTAAGGTTGTCCACTCAGAAAACAAATATAAGGAACATTTCATGCCTATTGCATTCATTCATGAGAACATTTAGGGGCTCTTCCAATTCATCATTTAGGAGTGCAAAAACATGCCTCCAACCAGGCCATAAGGGGAACAAATGAAAGTCAGGATTACGGCCCAAGTGACTCATTTTCTTCATTCTTCCTCTATGTTGTTTACGGAATCTGGTTCTTTTACGGTTATAGTTGATGGTAGTGCTTTAATCCCATCTCTACTGCAGAACAGGACATGAGAGTTTTTTCACATCCAGCTCCTCACGAATTAAATGGTACTAAACAATTCAAAAGAATGATACAACCTATCCATTTCAAAGTATCTATACAGCCAACCTCCAACCACCTCCAGAAATTACCACACATCACTAAGTTTCCAAAAGTACACTTCTTTCAATGGTATCATTGCTCATGTTCAAATTGATGATGTGTGCAAGTCTTGCACATGCTCAATCTAATATCGAGCTAATTTCCGAATGTAGATATCTAGATCAGATGTAGAAAAGAGAGTAGGGAGACTAAATTAAATACACTGAAAATACAAAAGGGAAATTACATTTGCATACTTTGGGGATGGAGATAGCAAAGGCACAGACAGGGGAGCACATAAGCAAAAGTGGAAATTGCAACAGGCTTTTGTTTGATGATAGGAAGATACAAGCTAGGTTTCCAAGATAAGGTTGTGGAAAAATCAATAAGGCCTCTTGTTGGATATGGAAATGACTGTACTGGAATTGGAGAACCAAACATGGGTCATGCAAAAACCAGGAAGTCCTCTGATGATTGAAGAGCTTGCTGCATTTTTTAAGTATTCATATTTTTTCCGTAACAAAGAGGGGGTTTATATGAGAATCCACCCATTGTATTAAATTCAAAGACTGTAAATTAAGGACAAGACTATAAGCTCCATGGTTTATAATCCAGTTGCGACTATAAGTACAGGAGTTCCTGTTATGGCGCCTCTATAACTTAGGATAGTCTATGGCATGCTATTGATTTGAATTTCATTTCTTCGCTGATAATTCTTCAATCAATAATGTCTTCCATATTTCACTACCATATCTGCCATACATTCCTTTACAAGTAGCTCTGCAAAGGATATCACTTCTCTGTCTTTTCTTTCTGCCTTGGGAGTTCTTTTATTTTGACACCATCTTGAACCATACTACTGTGTTTCTGTGCTACACGTATCCCTTTGGTAGCATATATCTGGAGCATGTTCACTTTCCTGGTCGGGTGCTATAGGTTGTGCTTCATCTGGGGCTGTTAACGGGCCAGGTTCAGGCCAGGATAAGCCAAAGCCCAGCCTGAAATAAGCCCAGGCCAGAAAGTTCAATTTCAGGCCTGGCCAGAACCAGGCCGAATTCATGATGACAAGCTCGAGATCGGCCAGACCGGGAAAATGGGCTGGGCCCTAAATAAAATGGAAAAAGAAATATTTAATATATCTAACATGTACGAAAGAAGCACCTGGCCTCTGCTCAGTGCCAAAAGTATGTTGGATCTACCAGGCCAAGCCCACGGGCCTTAACATGCACCCGAAAACCCACCCAAAACTGGGCCCCGCCAAAAGCCCATGGACTGGCCCGAACCTCTTGACAACCCTAGCTTCCAAATACAGCTTGGACTTTTTTGGCATTTGTATCTTGATAATATATAGAAGGAGGTTGCACTGTCTGCATAGCATGTGCTTTAATGGTTCTACCTATACATTGTGAACTCCATGGTACGGATGTGCATTTTTTCCAATGCTACCTTTTGGGCTTTGTTGGATTGTATTGAACAATGGCAGCCAGTATGGAAAATCTTAAGTTTTATTTTCTGTAACCCACCCTGAAGCATCCATTGAAGGACTTGGAGCTAGATTGTCAGGAGCTAGTGAGGCTTTAGCATGAATCTCCACGGCTAGATAACTGTATTCCTACTGCTAGAAAAGGAAATCCAGCTGTAGTTCCTCGGTTTGTGCTATTTTCCCTTGGTTTCAAGCTGTATTCTGGCTTTCTTTCCGACTAGTTTTCTGTGCATTGCACTCTTCTGAGTTTCATGTTTTAGGGCAAGAACCATTCAATAACTAGCTGATATTTTCAACACTTACTTTTTGGAGCTTTTGCTTGTTTCTGTTTCTATTGAGCCATCCGCCAGCACATATAGGCAGAGAGAAAACGAAATGGGCAGAAGTAGGAGGAGAAAGACAAGATAAATAAGGGTTTGGGTGGGACTGGTCATTTTCCATTCTTGCTTGCAAGTTTTGTTCCCTCGTGTTATTGTCTCCGAATTTTTTCCTTTCTCATTCTTTTTTGTTCTCTCAATATGTTTCGGGCTTTACTTGGATGATTGTGTTTCATGACCAGTTTCACACAGTAGGAGTGTTGTTTGGAGACACTTTTCATACTAGATCATTTGTAGGAATCCTTCCACGATAATTGTCTTGACCCATATCTCAGTGGGGAGCTCTTACTTTTGTTTGACTTTGACAGGGATTCTTGTGCAGCCGATTAGATTGCAATCATGATTATAGCTATCCATTGACACAGGATTTGACCTAGCAGATCTGGTGGCCAAAGGTATCATGGAAGGTAGTAACCTGGCCCATAAGGGGATGGTGCAAATTATAGCCGATAAAGGGGTCACTGAGTTTCATGGGTCTTCCAGCTAACAAACCAAGGCTCTCCATTGATTGCCTTCTTCATATCCTCTCTTAGTTTGAATCTGAAGATAATATGGTTGTTACCTTTGGCTATAGTGACAAATTTCCATTGACCTTCCAAATTTGTGTAAATCTTTGTTGTGGATGAGGTTTTCAACCATTGAAGACCTCAATGAGAGTGCCTCCCCATTTTTGCGGACATTCTTGGAACTTGTCTTGTGGGAGAGACTCTGTGAGCTTGCCATGTTCCATCGCTGCTTTGGGGTAGATTTTTGCCTGAAATGTAGGTCGGCTCATCCATAGTTACTCGGCTCTTCCAACCAAGGGCTGACTCATGCTCCAGCGCTCCAAGGATAAGAATATATATATATATATATATATATCACTCCAATTTTACACTTTAAAATCTCGATCCTTACTATTAGGTACTGATATCCTAAGCTACAGCGGATCCAGAATCCTTAGCATTGTGATATAGAGCAGGGTGGTATAGCATAGTAGTATAGTTTAGAAATGTGGTATAGTAGAATATTCACGCGCTCGTGCATTGCTCTTCAAGAGCTCCCTCTATCTTAGCAATGGAAGTTCCTTAAGAGCAACCGATCGATTATGAATAGACGAGTGAGAATCAAGCGAAACACCAGGAAATCTTGTTGTGGTTGTAATGGAGTTACAAAGGCTTCGTTCTCCTTCCAAATTCTAATCAGAGGACCCGAAGTAGGAGAAGGGAGCAACTATGTCTGAGGGGAACCTTGCAAATACTCAGCTACCTTAGATTCCACTACGAACAGAACTTTTTCATAACGTTCTGAACCTAGCTCACGTACTGCTTTAATGGGGTGAACAGCACAACCCTTGGAACGTACTACCGGCCCAGGTGGCGAAGAGTCAACATCGAGGTGCCAAATCTTCCTGTCAATGTGAACTCTGCCTAGAGCCGAAGGTCAAGGAAGTTGGTGACCTGGCGACAGGGGAGCCAGCGACCGCAGCCCCGGTGAACGGCAGCCGTAACTATAATGGTCCTAAGGTAGTGAAATTTCCTGTCCGGTAAGTTCCAAGACAAGAAGAGATAAAATTCAGATTGAGATGGACGAGTAACAAGACAAGAAGAGATAAAATTCAGAATGAATACATCCAAAGGAAGATAGGGGTAGCTCCAATAGGTGATAAGATGATTGAAAGTAGACTTAGGTGCATGCGCAACATCGACCTAGAACAGCACCGGTTAAGAGAGGTGATTTGGTTCTAGTGAAATGCTCTAAAAGGGGGGCAAGGGTAGGGTCCAAAAGGACATCGATAGAAAAAGTGAGAAGAGATATGGTGAATTATGGTCTAACCGAGGGTATGGCCCTTACTAAAGCAGAATGGCGGAAAAGGCTTTGACGTAGCCAACCCCAAATAGTTGGAATAAGATTCTGATGATGATGCTGTAAATTATGTAGTTTACATTGTAAATCTAAAAATACTAGCATAGAGTACAGTATAGTAGTACATAGTATATTGCACAATATTATTATATTTTTTTTAATATGTTCACTTTGTATTGAGTAAGATGGAGTGTACAAAAAATTAGGCAACCACTCTCACTAGTGTCCTATACAAAAACCCCATAGGGCTCAAAAAATGCTTTACAGTGACAAGGAAGAGATATAATGGGGCATAAAGAAAACAATCCAGGGGACTGGGGCCTCAAGATAATGGCAGTGAAGATGTAGGCAATGTTCCCCCATTAGATGCGGACCCTACCTAGCCAAAGAGTTTCATTTGCTTCCCTATAGATGCGCTGCCAAGAAACATGAAGGCCCCTGCAAATGTGTGAAACTTCATCAAAAAAGTGGTGTAGTCTCCTTGGGCAATCCGCAAAGCCGCTGGCCCATGCGATGACATTCCTAGAATCTCCTTCAACCATTAGATCAGGCTTCTAG